GAGATTCCTTGTGTAAGATTGGAAAACTCCATGTCAACGTTCAGACCTGTGTTTTCAGCACTCACGCCCCGGCTGTTGCCTTGCTTGGGATAGCTTGGGCTTTCGATATCTGCACGCCGGGCCAAAGGCGGTACGAGAAGTCGCACAAAAGTTTTATAGTCCAATCCGAGTCGTACACAGACTGTGTCCTACAATAGTTAGTCAGTGGAACTACGCGAAGGTGGTCTGCACAGTATGAAAAAACAAGTACCAGGTACTCGTGTGCTGTGCGGCATTCAAACATGCGACCTGACGTAACACAAAGATATGGCGTTCAGTGTGGTTCGGTGCAACGGGGTGTAACAAGCGTTCTCCTCACCTGAGGAAGCGATGAGATGGCGGAACGTTTAACGAAACTTTGAATGATAGGAGTTTCAATGCATGCCATAAACCGAGGGAGTTAGTTATTATTTTTAGCAGCGTGACCTATCAACGTAGCTCGACAATCAACGTATTCACTACAGGAACAACTTAAAGCCGCCTGTAACATTCGTTCCTAGTAATCTATTAGCAGAGTCTATGTTTGACGAGGAGAGTTTGTTACTCGCAACTGCCTGACTTTGGTGAAACCACAGAAGTGAAGTGGCTTCCTTGTTATTTCGGTTTGTCTGTGTAGTACTTACTTGAACGGTTCCGAACGTGCATTTTTAGCCGCGCGGGACAAGGCGGTATATGTGCGTTGATGGTGCCACTGGCGCCTTGATAAGAAGGCGGTGATTCGATATATGAAAGGAGCAGGTGGTACTGAACCTTGGATTCTTCCGAATGAGTAGGGACTGGCAGTGACACCCAGGAGACGCTGTTTAATTTACAGAACAGGCGAAGAAGCGCCAGCCTAGAAGCTCCACTGGCGACCCGATCTATGTCAACGAATATTTCATGATCGATACCACCCCATACGGCCGTGCCACTGCATTCACTGACGTAGGGGTACGCGATCGTGATGGAGGCCACGAGGTGCTGGTGGATGTTTGCGGGAGCGTCAGCCCTGAGGCTGTAAGTGTTTGCCTTTGTTTTTATATTGTGTGATGGGTACGAACGCACTGCGTACCTGTACGAGTAGAAGTTCTTGGATCTAAGTTTATAAGGTAGCGTCAGTGGCAGCTGACAAAGCCCGCTACTTACGCGCAACATTCTCCCAAATATGGGCCGTCGACCACGTTGTCACAAAGCTGTTATGCATCTCACCCTGTGATTTGTACGGTACAAGATACGGCCGCCGACGAACGAGATGATCAATTCAGTCATGAGACTCGTGTACTGATATAAGGTCGCAATGCTAAAAGTGCGGATGAAGATCTGTACAAAAGATGCAATGGTGTGATATGAATGAACAATAATGATAATGCCGAGTTCCAAATGAGATTGTAATGCCGATACCAATGATAATAATGATGCACAGGTAATATGATAACAAGATGAAAGATGATGGTGATGATGTCGATAAACCTTGTATTCGTTTATAACAAGGGCTGGGCCATGGCCCATCGAATACGTTGCATTGTCATGGCACCCGCAGCGGCCTTCAAAATACTCCGAGCCATGTTTTTGCAAGAACTCGTCCAATTCAGTTAGTAGGGGGTGGTTCAGATCATTTCCAGAGATGGGTTGGTACTGAAAGTCTGCATCGAAGACGGGCTGGGACTGGAAGTTAACGTCGGAGAACAGCTCCGGGTCGAACTGCGGCATGTGGAGTAGAAATATCGACGGAGATAGTCGGGAGCTGGACGTGGGGAGGGTTCGGTGAGCTCGCCCGAGAATCGGGGGATACCGGAGTCGGTGGAGATCCAGCAATGCAGGAATCTCTCCCTCGGGCTTCATAAACCGAGTGGAGGGGTAAGACCTGTTAGGCGCGGCGGCGAACCGTCGAACAGCTTTGCCACCGGGGCGCTTGGGGCTCGTAGCTGTGTAGGCGTTTGCGGGTGACGCGTCAAGCTGCCTGGTTCGGTGGTGGCACGTCTTCGAGCGTTCACGGGTGTGAGTCCTGATGTGGATCTGCATATATTGAACTTCTGGAGGGTCTCGTGATCGCAGTTGAGAAATTGACATGCGTGCATACTGATCAAGATAGTAAAGAGGTCAGGAACTATCTGGTATACTAATAAGGTACGAGCACGTGCGGAGCCTCCTTGTGTTCATCGTGCGTATGCACGTGTCTAGGAAGATCTGCCTTACGGCTTATAGCTTTGTGACAGACAGAGCAGTCAACAGGTGTCTGTAAAGATGTCATAAGTACAAGACGCGTGATAGAGGTAGGCTGGAAGCGTACCATGTGCGTCCTGCGGCAGGCATCTTGTGATAGTGCTTGAAAGGAAAGAAGCGGTTGTGAACGACCTGCGGGGTGGAGTTAAATCCTTGGAGTGAATATATAGCGCGCTTGTGACAGATCCATACATCTTGCGCGCTCCTTCAAAGCACCAGGCATGCTATGGATATCGAGTACGATTGCTTTGCTGCGGCGCGCGTTTCTGCCTTTAAAGGCAAAAAGCGCGAGGTAATGGTGTGCAATGGTGACCTCATTGATAGCTCTTGACATGTCTGACGAAACTTGGGAAAGTCATCCAAGCTGTTCCTTTCTGGGCTACTGATGGGAATGGTGCACACTGGATACACGAAGATCCTTCTTTCAACTCTGGATGGGAGCGGGTTGACGGAGGGGTGTGGCGAGATCGGGCTTGCAGAGCATAGCGAAAGCGAACTAACAAGAGCACGCACAGAAGGACCAGGAGCCGTCACCTTGCACGCGTCCTCGAGGAGATACGTGTGCTAGAGGCACGGATTAATGAGTCGTGCGGGTAGGAGAACAGGGTGAGGGAGCTTGGGGATGCGTTGGAGGCAAAGTAGTGGGGATGATGCGCTGGTCCTGTCTTGGGTTGGGGTTGTTTGTGAGGGGATGCGAGATATTGTATATGGACTCGAGGACCGGTGAGACGATGTCCTTGTGACCTAGCATTGTAGCTAGGTCGGCATATGTGTGGACTGGGTGTAGAGATTTTAAGAGCTGCATATACAGCGATGACTTCAATGGCCCGGAAACTAAATCGATGCACTGTGATATCCCAATGACAACACTTTTGTTTTGTGTGACAGCCTGATGAGACAACCTAGCGTACCAACGAAAGCCATAGCATGTTGTACTACTATTTCTCTGGTTGATAAGCTACATCGAACATATCGTAGTGGCGGGTCCCAGACTCCAAAACCGAGCACTTGCTTACTTTGAAATACTGTACACCTGTACAAGTCAATTTGCTCGAAGTTCAGCGGCGCACAAAGAGCTGAATGAACATTTAAAAATTCGACAGAAACTCTTCCGCTACTAGGTGGGCGTCTTTTGGTTGGGGGGATTCGTGGGTCGGGCGTAGCATTAGCGCCTAGCTAAGCTGGTGTGGAGATATTGAGGGCTGCCAAATGCACGTACAGTTGAATTGCTTACTTTACAAGACCAGGACGAACTGCGATATTGTCCCGATGGCAACCCTTTTGTTTGTGTCAGGACGATCTAGCTCACTGGCGAACATACCTATCGCCATTGAGTGGTATATGCACCAGTAAGCCACCAACTCCAAAACTGAGTGCTCACTTGTTTTATAGCAATTTTCATGAATGTCGACAACGGAAATCATTGCCTTCACGTTAATTGCAATAAAACAGTACAACAAGGAAATTCAACAGAAACGTTCTTGCGGTTCAGCGGAGTTATAACTAGAGCCGCAACCTGGAGTCACACGGTGACAGCAAGTCACGTGCCAACCAATTATGACATGCCCGAACTCGGGCACTCTCCGGCTCGGTTGACCTTCGGTTCGAAATTGACAGGAATCGGTCCATTCCTTAAAGCTTTGACGATTTAAGTGGTGCGTGTGTACACTCCCTCATCCAGTCCCTTCCAAGAGATGGCAACCTCAATCCAACTCCCATCAGACGCAGTCCCCTTCAACATCTTCGCCCTCACATCAATGCCTCCAAACGATAAATACCGTGGCGCTGTTGTAGAGGTGCGTATCATAAGATTAATTATCGTACGAAACATAAGCCAACGCATCATCGATCACTATGTAGGACCTGCAACTTCCCCCTGCATTCTGTTTACCCTCCACCGAATCAGTATCTCGCGCCATGGAGTTAGCATATGATCGTGACTTCTCCCATATACCGTAATGTGCGCTCCTTTCACCTGCGCCAATCATTGACTTTCCCATTCAGCGTCCTAAACCGCGATCGTCGTCCACTTGGGTACGTAGACGTCGCTGCTCTGAAAGAAAAGTGGGAATCGGGTACAGCATCGCCGGTACGTATCGCCATGAGATCGATAATTCCTTCCATGCTGAATGTGACGCTTAGAGCGACTCCATCAGCAAATACATGACCAAGTTCAATCGTAGCGCATCTCAGCATTACACCCTCATAACGCCCTTGACACCCCTTGCGGAACTGGCAGAGTTTTTGCGGGACAATATCTTTGCACTAGGTGCGTCTTGAGTATTCGAATGTTTTGGTTTGCGGTTCTGACTGCTCTGATTGTTGTAGTTACGGACCAGGGCAAGAATTTCGTGCTTGCTGTGGCGACATCGCACGATCTAGAAGTAAGTCAGCGTTTTCTTCGTGCGTGGGCTCGTGGACTCATTTGGTATCTCTAGAATTTCGTGACACGTAGGGGCCGTTGATCTCAAGCCTGATAGATCATTATCTCCTTCATTATTTATTTTCGGTCATGTGGTTTTATATCTATCAAGTGGAATATGTTTCAATATCATGCGGTGGGCGCTTGATCGTGGGTCGGCGTAGTATATCTGGGGTTGTGAAGTTGAGAGGTTGGTATTGGTTTCGTCACAGGAACGAGGCGAATCCTGCAAAGGCATGATACGGTGCAACCTTGCCTCTTAGCTTACTGCATATAAGCCATCATAGCAGATGGCCTGATCCTGATCCTCTCGGTTTTCTTTGGCACTGTTAATGTATCGGATATGGTGTAATGGTTAACATTACCGCCTCTCATATAAGACGTATTGCTGTGAATCGTGGTATTGCTATGATCACGGTAGTATTGCTGTTATCGCGGTAGCTCGGGGTTCGATTCCCCGTATCCGAATTGTTTTTTATATTTTGGCTGGTATTTCTTGGCTCCACTCACGCGCTATACTCTCTTTCAAGGTTTCAACTCGAACCACTTACGCTCAAGTAACCTAGCTGCGCACTGCAAGTAGTCACCACTCTCCTTCTCGATTCTCGAGCTACCTAATAGCCCGTGACAGGGACTCGTGAAGTTTCGATGATCTTGTTTTGACAACTTCAAGGACTATGGAAACTTCATGACTCCCTCATGAACCGAACAACCAGATGCCATGCGAAGTTAGCGCTGGGTTGTGCGCAGTACTATGGATGCGAATACTGATGCAGGTTTACTTCTAGGTCGTATGTATACTTGGGCCCGTTTCTGCCAGTGTGCTAGCTCTAGTCGCACGACAACATCCTCAACTCCGGGGCTATGTAGGCTTAGCCGGGGGATGGTTTGAAGTTGATTCAGGACAACGGTTATGGGCCTATAGTATGCCTTGATCAAGGCCTTGTACATGCGAAGAAAGACAACCTACCCTTACTAGTTGAGCACGTTGCTGCGTCCAAGTTGACTGGGCGTTCCGCGATAAAGTTAAGGTTGCCTGTGCTTGGAAGTACTTATGTTACCACCATCAATTTTCGTGCAGTGAGTACACTGGATCGCTTTCCGCATAGTCAATTTCACGCGCATCGCAAATGAAATCAACCCTACCATTCGCTCCAGTTCAGGACCTTGGAGAGATCACAAGACCACAGTCTGAGACTCTAGAACAAAACTAGGCTAGTGAGTAGAATGACCATGAACTAGTGATAACAACCTCACCATGAGTGCCGGCATTAAGATGCGGGACAGCCTGAGGCCGTTGGCCACTCAAGGTCATGTCATCAGTCGTGGAACATGCACTTCAACGGTCGATGGCGTGCTAAGCATCAGTCAGCCCATTAAATCCGCTCATCGTTCTCTCTCGATCAGGATTCTCAATCACCTCCTCCAGTCATACGGACTGGATCGGTTGACGCATATTTTACTTCAACGAGCTAAACTATAACAAACCGGAATAACGATACTGTCCAAACGAACAACACAATAAGTATTGTCACAATACAACGAGCAAAAAATGACATACGATCGATAGTATGGACCCTCTTGTAGTACATAAAGAAAGAAATATAATACATCAAATATCCGCGCTTCTAATGTATCTTACTCGTTAGTTCTATCGTGGAAGTGAAATTAGCAGAAAGGAGAATGTAAATACGAGATCAGCGTGTCCCCAGTAGTGCTGTAGTCACGACAGAAGAAGTCGCGCTGAGGGTTTTTACTGTTAAGTAGGGGATGATCAGCAAGTCACCATAAAGCAACACCAATGGAAGTACCTTGACTAGATACCTATATGAACAAATACAATCTGCTGTTCTAGCGAAATCTTCTTGCGCAATGATTTCATAGCCTTGTGCAACGCTACCGCGGCGCGCGTGCAGTCCAGTCTCCCCGAATCATCAACCAGATGTTCATAAAACACAGAAACAACCTGGCGTGCAACGTCGTCATCGACAGTCCACATGGAACCGATCACGCTGCGAAATCCGGAGAATTGCATCGCCGCAGCGAGATGAATTGCTTCATCTGGGCTCGAGTAGTCACCCACGGTAGTGTGGCAAGCCGATAAGAATGCAAACTCCGGGTTCTGCCAGTGAGATCGGATGATCTCCCTGATCTTTAAAGGCCCGTCGCGCATTGCGAAGGAAGATTCAAATGGATCCTTTGGATTTGGTATTCCATGGCAGGCCAGGTGAAGCCACTGATTCTGGCTTAATGCATCAATTGCTCCCCGCACTGTCGCATCACTGTCCTCGAGCGATGTGAAGGACACAACTGGCGCGAGACGCTGAGCGACGACAGCTAGCTCAGAAGCAACACATTTGAGTTCCGTCCCTCCGTCCGGGTTTGCTTGACCAATGGCAACAAAATGCTGCGTGGAGGTATCTCGAGAAAGCTGCTGTCTCGCGCGAATGAGCGTCGTCAAGGTTGGGGTGTAAGAGGAGACATAAAAGCGAGACAAATTTAGGCTCTTCTTCTCGTAAAGTCCTGCTGCATGTAGAGGAAGTGAAGTTAACTCTGCGGTGGGACACCACCAGATGCGCGAACCGGGTTGAATCAGTTCCCCGAGAGCTTGAACCACAGGGCCAACAATCTTATTCCAGAGCTTGCGGAGGATGTTGACAATCTTGAGTAATTCGAGTTTAGGATCGGACGAACCAAAACCCTTCGTGAGTGTCTGGAAGTCTATGGACAAATCTAAGACTTCGACTCGAGTGATATAAAGTGGAACGTGGACAGGATCTTGGGAACTTGTGATAATCAAGGCATCACAGCTGTAGTTGCTTGAGTTGACGATGATGACTGGACCATCTTCTGCCGCCTTCTGGAGGTATGAAAACAGCGGAGGCAGGAGAAAACGGGAAAAATGAGGTAGCATGCGGATGCGTGAGACGACATCGTCCCATTGCATGGTAATCTGTCGGATGTGTTGGGACTGGTCTTCAGTAGACTTATCGAATGCGTTGCGAAGGCGAAGGCTGAGTTGCTTGAACTCTGCTGCCAAGGTTGCGCCGATGTCACCTGACATGGAAAGTTCATCCAGTGGTGTGCGGAAGCGCGCCAACTGGGTCCAGAATACTGCACGGCCTTGTTCTACCAGTTCGACAGCAGTAGTGAAAGAACCATTACGAACACTGCACGAAAACGCATCCGTTGCCAAGGACGATAAAGCCTCCTTGACCGCATTGAAATGGCGTGAGGAGGACGATAGAGCGGCAACGTGCTGATCGAGGAATCTTAATGTGGTTTGATAGGCGAGCAAGGCAGAACTATGGTGGAACTTCTCCGCAGAGGTAGCCCATGACTTGGCGGCATTAATATTGCTAAGAGAGACTGCATGAGATATCTTGGGGAGTTGTAGATAAAGCTTGAATGCCTCATCCAAGTCTGGTGATAAATCCAGCTGCTCGAATCTGGCACAGAGGCTGAGAGCCAGGCCGAGGAGAGACATGGATCGATGAGAATGGTCAGGGGGATAGAGCTCCAGTGCAGCCCTATGAAGCTCAATGGCCTCATCGAGGTCAGACAGGTCAATGACCTCACCAAGGTAAATCAGGATGCCCTGCTGTTCGAATCTGAGTTCAAGGCTGCAGGCAAGGTTGCTGAGGGACGCAGCTCGATTAGAATTGCCAGGCGGACAGAGTTCCAGTGCAGCCCGTTTAAGCTCAGTGGCCTCATTAAGGTCAGACAGGATGTCCTGCTCCACGAATCTGGATTCAAGGCTGATGGCAAGGTTGTTGAGAGACACGGCTCGATCAGAATGGCCAGGGGGACGGAGCACCAATGCAGCCCGATGGAGCTCAATGGCTTCATCGAGGTCAGACAGGATGAGCTGCCGCATGAATCTGCCTTCAAGGCTAACAGCAAGGTCATTGAGAGATGCTGATCGACCAGAATGGCCAGGGGGACGGAGCTCAAGCGCAGCCCGATGGAGCTCGATAGCCTCATTGACGTCAGACAGGACGCCCCGCTGCCTGAATCTGGTATAAAGGCTGATGGCAAGGTTGTTGAGAGATGTGGATCGACCAGAATGGCTGGGGGGACGGAGCTCCAGTGCAGCTCGATGGAGCTCGATGGCCTCATCGAGGTCAGACAGGACACCTCGTTGTCGAAATCTGGCTTGAAGGCTACCAGCAAGGTTGTCGAGAGACATGGATCGATGAGAATGGCCATGAGGACGGAGCTCCAGTGCAGCCCGATGGAGCTCAATGGCTTCCTCGACGTCAGACAGAGCGCCCCGCTTCTCGAATCTGGCATAAAGGGTGGTGGCAAGGTTGTTAATAGACTCTGATCGATCAGAATTGCCAGGAGGACGGAGCTCCAGTGCAGCCCGATGGAGCTCGATGGCTTCCTCGACGTCAGACAGGACGCCCTGCTGCTCAAATCTGGCTCGAAGGCTGTTGGCAAGGTTGCTGAGAGATGCCGATCGATCAGAATGGCCAGAGGGACGGAGCTCCACTGCAGTTCGACAACACTCAATGGCCTCATCGATGTCAGATATGACACCACGCTGCTTGAATCTGGCATAAAGGATGATGGCAAGGTTGTCGAGAGATGTAGGTCGATGAAAATGGTCAAGGGAATAGAGTTTCAATGCAGCCCTATGAAGCTCAATGGCCTCATCGAGGTCAGACAGGCCGCCCCGCTCCTTGAATCTATCATAAAGGTTAATGGCAAGGATGTTGAGAGACAAGGGTCCATGAGAATGGCCATGGGGATAGAGTTCCAGTGAAGCCCGATGAAGCCCGATGGCCTCATCGAGGTCAGATAGGACACCCCCCTGCTCGAATCTGGCCCGAAGGCCGACGGCAAGGTGGTTGAGAGACGTAGATCGATCAGAATGGCCTGGGGGACAGAGCCCCACTGCAGCTCGATAGAGCTCAATGGCCTCATCGAGGTCTGACAGGACCCCCTGCTGCTTGAATCTGGTATCAAGGCTGATGGCAAGGTTATGGAGAGACGTGGATCGATCAGAATTGCCAGGGGGACAAAGTTCCAGCACAGCCCTGTGAAGCTCAATGGTCTCATTGAGGTCAGACAGGCCGCCTCGCTGCTCAAATCTGGCTTGAAGGCTGCTGGTAAGAATGCGGAGAGACATGGATCGATCAGAATGGTCATGGGGAAGGAGCTCCAATACAGCCCGATGAAGCTCAATGGCCTCATCAAGGTCAGACAGAACGCCCAGGTGCACGAATCTAGCTTGAAGGCTAAGGGCGAGGTTGAGAGACATGAACCGATCAGAATGGCCAGAGGGACTGTGTTCCAGTGCAGCCCGATGGAGCTCAATGGCCTCATCGAGGTCAGACAGGACGCCCTGCTGCTTGAATCTGTCACGAAGGTTGATGGCAAGGTTGTTGAGATATGCGGATCGAATAGAATGGGCAGGGTGAAGGAGTTCCAGTGCAGCTCGACGAAGCTCAATAGCCTCGTCG